CACGGGAATGAAGAGTATGAGCTGCCTTCTGGGTGCCAGGAAGCTCACCAGTTGATGGACACAAACTATAGGCTGCTCGGAAGAAAAGAATGAAAGATCCTGAGAAATAAGAAAATCAGGGAAAAGAAGCAGGGAAAGTGTCTTGCATGGACAAGAGCAGCTACAGTGGCCCAGTTCTTACAGGTTTATTCTAACTGTTTTCAAAAATTAGTCCCTGCCGGCTGAGGTTGGGGCTCAGTGGTAGAGTGCTCACTTAGCAGGCGTGAGGCACTGGGTTCCAACCTCAGCACCACATAAAAATAAAGAAATAAAGATATTGTATCCACCTAAAAAAACTAAAAAATAAATTTAAAAAACAATTAGTCCCTGAGGGCTGGTGGGGATCCAGCTCAGGGGTAGGGCAAATGCCAGGCCTGGGGTACAGTCACCAGCCCTGCAAACAAAAAACAAAACAGAGGAGTCCTTGAAATTGTATTAAGTTTTAAAAATTCTTTTCAGAAGAAGGCAGGAAACAATACAGATCAAGGTAAGTGAATTGGGCACACAGATCCACACATATCTAGACATGGTGATACCTCCACTAAAGTACATGTGTACAAAGTGGACAGACTGGACATGTCAGGAAAGGTCCGCACAGTGCCTGTGTCACCAGATGGAACCCCCAGATTACTGACAGCCCACCGTGCAGTTGAGTGCTGCTTGCTTGCAAACCTTAGAGCCTAGATGCTGGGAATCACATGCCTGGGCCAACAGCCTTGTCATCACATGCTTCCAGAGGTCCAGGGGTGTGCTCTACGCCTGCTAGATCTGGTCTGAACCCACATGGACACTCCAGATGACCTTAAACTCATTATAAACCATGATAAAAACTCACTCACCTCAGACCCAACCATTCCCAAATCAGAGGAAAGCGGTGGCACCCTGATTCCTGGAAGTCTCCCCTCTCCTGGAGCACTCTGGTGACAGCCTGAACCCTCACCACGCAGTCCCAGTGATGCCCTTACAGTACTGCTCCCCTTCTCCACTCATGGGCCATGGGTAAAACGTCCTGCCATGCTCAGAACTCTTTGGGCACAGAGAGTTTAAGGGCTGTCCATAGTGTGGGGGTTCCGTTTCGTGACACAGGCACAGTGAGAACCTTTCCTGATGTGGTCCAGTCCACCCACTTTGTATGTATGTACTCCTGTACCCAAGTGGAGGTGTCACCATGTCTAGATGTGTGTGGATAGTGTGCAAGATTCCAAAGTTCAGCCACGCAGAGCTCAGGAGACATCTCCACTTTTCTTCCTTTGCAGGTGGGGCAAAGTCTTCAACCTACGCTGGTGAGTGATCCTAAAACTGTACATTCTGGGGTGGGTGCCCTGAGCATGTAAGCCTTTATTCTGCTGTTACCACTGATATTCCCTGTGGTTATAACTGGATCTAACCCAAAGGCTCATCTTTGGTGGGAGTACTACCTTTGCTTTCAGAGCCTATGAAAACCCTCACCTGCTGGCATACATGCCAGCCCTTGGCAGAGCTTGGGAATGGAAAAAGTGCTACCTCTGAGCCATCAGAGCTGTAGATGAGAAAGGTGGACGTTGGAGAGACTCTGAAGAAAGAGAGAGAGGAAAGATTTGATGAGGATGGTTAATAGGAATATTGATCTTTTTCCTTATCTGTATCTCTATTTTTTCCCCCAGATTGGAAGGCAGCTCTCTTCCAAGCTGGTAAGTAGGTTACTGTGTTTTTCCTAGGACAACAACCTAAGGGACTATATTCCCTTTTTCTTTTCTAACTCTTGATATCTGAGGAAGTAAATTCCACTTAAGTAGGAGAGTCTTGGGTGGGCAACTTCAGTTCCCATCTGACCTTCACTTTGCTGGACCCAAGTCCCCTGGGGCTTTTCCTCATGATGTTAGCTAGAGTGACATTGAGGGCAGACAAGGGACGGTGGATTCTAGACTTACACCTCCTCAAGGCCCAGATCTTGAACGCCRAGGCTCTTGAGGACCAGGAAAAATGGCTGACCCCTCAGACACACCCTTCAACTCTCTGCAGCGGACGTGGTCCTGGATCCTGACACAGCAAACCCCATCCTCCTTGTTTCTGAGGACAGGAGGAGTCTGCAGCGGGCAAAGGAGCGACAGGACCTGCCAAACAACCCTGAGAGATTTGATTGGCATTACTGTGTGCTTGGCTGTGAGAACTTCACATCGGGGAGACACTACTGGGAGGTGGAAGTGGGGGACAGGAAAGAGTGGCATGTCGGGGTGTGTGGGGAAAARGTGGAGAAGAAATGTTGGGTTAAAATGACACCTGAGAATGGGTTCTGGGCCATGGGGTTGTCTGATGAGCATGACTATCGGGCTCTCACTGAACCCAGGACCAAGCTGACCCTCTGTGAGCCCCCCAGCAGGGTGGGGGTCTTCCTGGACTATGAGATGGGGGAGGTGTCATTCTATAATGCAGTGGATGGATCTCACATCTACACCTTCCCTCAGTCCACCTTCTCTGGGCCTCTGTGGCCTGTTTTTAGAATTTTGACTTTGGAGCCGACTGCCCTGACCATTTGCCCAGTGCTGAAAGGAACGGAGAGGCCCCTTGTTTCTGACCTAGCACCTGACCTTCCCCCAGAGACCCCAGGGACCTCGTGCTTAGCAAACGGGAGGGAGGAGCCCCAGGCTGAGGTCAGGGCCCCTCTCCTCCCCCATAGCAATCCACTGCAGCTGTAAAGCTACCTGCACGCGCTGCGCCAAGCACTTTACTGACCTCTGTTCAGCTGTTCTGTGAGACAATTCCTCTAGATCATTGCCACTTTACTGACATGTGTCCAGATGTCAGGCAAATTTTATGTAGAAAAGAGAATAGATTTTCCAAAGATACCATGGCTCGTGAACAAAGAGCTGGAATTTGGACAATAACTGTTATGGAGAACCTGAGACGGGTCCCCTGCTCTGAGATAGCTGCCTTAGGCGGATCTCACTCACTTAATTTTCAAACAACCCTGTGAAATATTCTCAATTTGAAGTTGAGGCAAGGCAAAGTTAAGTCACAGATAATTCAAGCAGTAAGTTGTGCAATAAGAGGTGCTCAGCTTCTGTCCCCTACCACCCACCTGTTCCTCCCTTCCAGCCAGATTATCCCCATGGGAAGGGCCCAGGTGCAACCCTGAGGTCCTTCTCCATGGAAATCCCAGATCAGGATCATTGACTATGGTGTGGAGGCCACACACTGCTTTGTTTCTCCCCAGCACTTTTTGGGTGGCTCTGCTAGGTGATTTGGCCCTGAAAATAAATTCATAGTACAAGCTGGATCACACAAGGCTGAGAGACACACCCTTAATAATGAGGCATAGATGGCCCACGCTGAAATGCTATGCATGATCACGGAGCCAAARAGCTGGAATTTGAAGAATAACTGTTATGGAGAGTTAACTGTTATGGAGAACTAAACTCCCTACACTAGAGGTCTCTGGGAACCACAGCTAAGAGATTGTCCACGAAACAAAAATTAGGGTAGGAGAAGCCAGAAGAGTTTCAAGGGTTTTTCTCTGAACTGTAGAGTCCATCTCCAGGAAAGGGGCCACGCATGCTGGCTCCCTGGGGGACCAACATTCTTCTAACCAGTGAGCGCCAAAGAGGAGCTGCTCTGAGCGTCACTGCTACTGCTCACCACTGTCCCCTCTGCCTGGCTTGTGGTCCTAGGGTTCTAGTTGTTCAATAAATTCATCAGTATTCTCATATGTCTGCATTCTGGCAGGTCTCACCATCTGGTCCACACACCCCACCTACTCTCCGGCTCCTCAGTTGCTTCATTGCATCACATGCACACAACCTTGTTGTCTTGGTTTTCTCTTGCTGCCAAAATTCATTACCACAAGCTGGGAGACCTGACACAACTTCATCACCTCACAGTTCTGCAGTCAGAGGACATTACTGGGGGTGGATGTCACGTAGTGTATTTTTATTTGGGAATGGATCAGAAATCACAAGTGCAGAAATAAAGTTTGACAGAAAGGAGAAAGCCAATTAAGTGAGAAACAATTTGAAGGATTCCTTTAAAAGTCAGTTACTATATGCTCAACTGAACTCAGTTTCCCTGGGACTTTCTGAGAAACCATGTGAAATTGTGGGGTAGACCTCAGAATCTTTCTAAGGGATTGGGATCCTGGAATATTTATCCATACTTCCTGTCCTCCTTTACTTGAATTGGTTGAAGTTTGCCCCTGGGGCTGTTAATTTTGCTGCACTTTTAGGTTGAGCTGYGTATCTGCAAAAAGAGAAAACATCACCAGCATTGGAGAAAGCTTTGGGCAGAGGACAGGCAGGCACCTGAGGTCAGCAGTTGCTATCCTTGCAGAAAAAATGTCTGCTTCAGGTCGTGGTGAACTGAGATGGGCCAAGAGGATGAGGTGGCCTCAACAGCACCAGTTCATACAGCTCTGCCTCTGAGAGTGTAGCAAATGCCTTCTAAGGCTGGTCTGCCCTTCCCCAGCCCCATAGTGAGGGATGCCTCTGCCCAATCCATATAGCAGTAGTGCCCCTCCTGTTTCCYAATACCTGTTCATATCACATGGTTCTCCTGCCCTAGCACATGGCCTGAATCTGGGGTGTTTATCTGAGTCTGGCAAGACCAGAGGATCTCCATGTGAACATGTAACCTGCTACATATGTAGCAGGCATGAGGAGCTGTGGGAAGACATTGTCTATGGTGATACAGAAAGAGAAGGAAAGTAGACTGCAGGGAGAGAAAACTGAGGCAGATGTGCAGAGAGAAGGCTTCAAGGAAAAAAAAGTTTGTGCAACTTTTCCAACTTTGCTATCATTCCTACTGTGTGTTCTGTGACATTTATTCTCTTGAGACAAAGTAGATATATTGTTGTAGCCCTAAAAAGGAGCACTTTGTATAACCATTTTATCCTGCTCATTGATTCTGAGTCAGAAATCTGGGGTCTGAATAGGGTAAAGTAGGAATGGTTTTTCTGCATGTCCAGATGTGTCCAGATGTCTGGGCCTCAACCGGGGGGACTCCCTGGAAGGAGGCAACTTGAAGGAAGAGATTTACCCAGACTGCTTTCAAAGATGAGTTTATTGAAGTTCAAAGMGGATCCCTGGTCACTCTGAGTCATGGTTCTTCCAGGACTGGCATGTACACCAGGTCCATGTGATATACATAGGGTGTACTGGCATGGAGAGCTGTAGCAGGTCACCCTTCTGTGGTTATCCCTCCCAAGAATGACTGGATCCGGGTGTCGGCATCCAGGGCAGCAACCCCAGTGTGATTTGGTTTCCTGCTCAGAGACTTCATGGTCAAGGGGCCACCTTCCAGCTCAAGACAGAATTGTCTCCTTTGGCTCCGGTCACCTACCGCAGGGGTTGATGCCTGATTCCATCAGATGCTTCTGGCACAAGCTGCCTCAAGCCCCAGGCCTCATTTCTTCAGATGAAAGCTGTGACTGGCAGGCTTTTATACCCCCACATCCCCCTCCTCTTTACTTGCCAAGAGCAACCCAGTCCTGACTGGGACCATTCAAAACTGTTTTCACTCATTGGTTATTGAACTCAGAATCCATTTCTAAGTACAAATCAAAAGCATCAGGCAATTCATGAGTCTGCTGAATTTGAGAGATGATCAGGATAATATAAAAATCAGTTCTCAGGGCCTTCTGGAACTTGTTCTCATCAAAGATCTCCTCTGCCAAGCAGAGAAGGAAACAGCTCTGCTAACTACTTCTAGGTAACTCCTATGATTCCTGTTAGCTGACAAAGGACTCTGGAACTCCAGTGGCCTGATTGTGCTGCCATCTCCATCTTGGTCTCTGGGGTCAGTTGGGTCTAGTAACTGAGTCATGCTGTCAAGGAAATGACCTTGCACTTAGCTTTCTCCTTATGCATTGCACAATGACCACTGCAGCACTTAGGGCTGGACACTGTAAGGAGAGAGGAATCACATCGGTTGGATATCTGTCCTGAAGAGCAGGTAGTTCAGTCAAGATACAGAGGATGTGTAAATAGCAACACCACAGGACAGAATGTAGGGATGTAGAAAGCTCTCAGTGTCAGAGGAGGCTGAGAACCGCTCAAGCTGGGAACATTTAGGAGGTGATCTTGGGAGAGGTATACATGAAGGCTGGACAAGAGGGAAAACTGACGGTAAGGGATGGCTGCCTGTGGGAGCCATTTATGCCAAGGCAAGTGTGGAGCCATTGTTAGTGTGTGAATTGCAAAGTTTTTAATTGAATCAGAAGGAGATCAGAGGCCTCCTGGCAGGCGTTTCAGGGCTTGCAAGGCACGTTGGAAACTCACTGGGTGTGGTTATTCTGCAGCTATGCAAGGACGCGCTTGAGGGTCTGTGGAGACATGGGAAAGGAGAGAAAAAGAGTAGGTGTCGGACCGGGTTGACCCAATCCCGGGCACAGGACGAGGCATAACTGTTCACTGCCGTYGTGGTGGACCCCACCACGATGGACCCCACCCAGATGGACCCTCCCCCCGGGGAGGAGGTTTTGCACTCTCGCTGTATCCTCAGAAGCTCTTACCCAATATTTTTGGTTTTAGCCAATAGTTTTTAAATGGGCAAGGTCTTCATAGGACCACTGCCCCTGCTGTCGCCCTCCTAGCCCACGCCCACTTCCCACGGCTTCTCTGCGCCAGCCTCCAGTCTGGCCCCGGAAAGAGGCCCTCCAGCTGTGGGGAGAGGCTGCTCCTCCCCCCGCTGCCGTCCTCAGCCTCARCCTCCACAAGCACTTCTACAGAGGCCTCTCCCCGTGGCCAGCGGCCACAACTCKCGGGGAATCTCAAGGCTTTGCAAGAAACCGAAGAGCAGTGTTCTGTTTCTTACGAGAAAAACGAAAATTAAAAGGTCCAATGCTCAAAAGCCCTTCTTGCAGATTTCCCCTCTTCGAACTGTTTCCSTGTAGTCCGCCCAGCAGCTGGTGACACAAAGGGGCGGGACACCGCCGCCGGCCAATCCTGGACCCTGAACCACCGGTCGGAAATCCCGGGGCTCGGTGTGCGCGGAGCGGACCGGGTCGGAGATCCCGGGTCGAGAACCCCCTGCACCCCGCGGCCAACGGGAGGCGAAGAAAACGTGYCCGCGCCCTTTGGGAACAGCTGGTTCTCCCGCGGTGGCTGTGCCCGGGGGTGGGTGGAAAGGAGGGGAGGGGCCCTAAAACCCCCATCCGAGGGTCGGAGAAGAGAAACGCGGGTCAACGCTAAAGGTAGGAAGGGTCCGGCGGGGCGCAGGTGGGGACCGTCCSTGTGGGTGGAAAGCGGGCCCCGGGCTCTGCGCCGGGCCGGCCCGTTAGGGGGTGGAGCCGGGCGGACGTGGGGAGGAAACTGAGTGTCGCCGAGAGCTGGCCTCTGCGCCCGGTCCCTCGGGAGATACCTGGGATGAGGGGTCTGTCGGCTCAGGACAGAAGTCGGGGAGCTCCTGAGACCCAACGACGCTTGTGTTGACTTGTGCTCCTCTGCACCCCAGGCTCGTGGTCGCCGCCTGTGCTGGCTGACGCCGTCTGTCCTGGGTACCTATGGAGCCCGCTGCCTGCCTGCGCCCCTGCTCGCCAGCCTCCTTTCTCCTCTCCTTCCTCGACCTGTTGGCACTGGTCTCAGGTAGGGCTGTGTCCCACTTGCTCCTATCAGCTTTTCAAAGAGGACAGAACCCTTCAGTCTTCAGARAGGACAGCCGGAAGGACTGCGGCAGTGCTGATCCGTCCTTTCATTCTGAACAGGGTCACTGCATTTACCCAGGATGTCCAATAGAAATGAGACCCACAGGGCTGGGGATGTGGCTCAATCGGTAGTGCGCTGGCCTGGCATGCGTGCGGCCCGGGTTCGATCCTCAGCACCACATACAAACGAAGATGTTGTGTCCGCTGAGAACTAAAAAATCAATATTAAAAAAATTCTCTCTCTCCTCTCTCACTCTCTCTTTAAAAAAAAAAAAAATGAGACCCACAAAGGAGAGCTGCAAATTTACAAGAAGCAACATTTTTTAAAAGTTAAACACAGATGAAATAAACGTTAAAAATATATTTTATTTAATCCCAATCAGATATTAATATTTAGATGCTTACTGAATGCAAAATATTACTAACGAGACATTTAATATTTTTAATTCTAAATCTTCAAAATCCTGTGTACATGTTTTGTATCCTTAAACCCCGCTTTAACTAGAAYTAGCCAGTGGGTACCCTATTGGGCAGTTCAAGTTTATGCTGCACTCAGGCACTGTGCTAGACTCAGGGATAGAAGACCAAATCCTTGTGAGCACAGAGTCTACAGAGGATGTTCAGGATGAGCTCCTCRCTGCCCTCCCCCTGCCCTTTTGTTTTCCTTTTAGAAAACATTAGCAACGTCATTTGGGTCTGCTCCCAGGTATGCTGCCCACCAGCCACAGCTGCTGGTCCCCAGAATCCTCAGCACAGGAATCCCCTCTGGCCTTGGAAAGAATTTGCCTCTTTCTGGAATATCCACTTCCCTTTCCATCWTGGATATTGGATGGCAATATCCATCCAAATCAGAAGACCCCCCTGCTGATTCTCCCCTTTGTCGAACAGCCCAGTTTACTGTCGTGGGGCCGGCTGAGCCCATCCTGGCCATGGTGGGAGAAAACGCCACCTTACACTGCCACTTGTTGCCCGAGAAAAGCGCCGAGGACATGGAGGTGCGGTGGTTCCGGTCTCAGTTCTCCCCCGCGGTGTTCGTGTATAAGGGCAGGCGAGCGAGAACAGAGGAGCAGATGGAGGAGTATCGGGGAAGAACCACCTTCCTGAGCAGGGACCTCAGCAAGGGCAGTGCGGCGCTGGTCATACGCAACGTCACGGCCCAGGAGAACGGCGTCTACCGCTGTTACTTCCAGGAGGGCAGGTCCTACGACGAGGCCATCCTGCGCCTCTTGGTGGCAGGTGAGCCCCTTGCTTTGCTCCACTGCCTTTCCTAGGGTGACTTTGGGGGAGTTGCTCTCTGAATCTCAGGCCCTCTGCAGAGCAGCAGATCGTTGCCTGGATCCCTTTAAGGACTCAGCCGCGTTTTCCTCTTCTTCTACCCACGGGCCACACGGAGGGGTTGGGTCGGCTCAGCCGTGGGCACACACARGCTTAGTTGTGGCCCTGGCAGGGGAGAATGGAAGACAGTTCAGATTCCTGCCTTATGGCTKAGATCATGAACTTTTGAGAGAGAAGCCACTGTGGGTAATTGCACCAGGCAACTGGAATAAGCAAGCTCACGTTTAAGCCACATTTGTGGATAAATATTAATGTCTTTTTTCCCTTTTCCCAAATACTGATTGTAAAGCGAGTGACTGACATGTAAGCAGATGATATCATTCCAGTGTGATTAAGTATAGAGGCCAAATTATATACTAAGCCCGGGCCCCACAGAGAAACTGAATGAGAAATCTGCCAGGAGCAGTTCCAAGAGCCTCCAACATGAAAGTGGGGAGGAAATGGGATTTCTAGGAGTGAACGACATTCACTCCTCAGCATCAGTACATTATTTTTTTAAATAAAGATCTGATGACGGGAAGGGCCTTTGAGACATAGAGGAATCAATGTTGGCATTTCCATTCACTAGACCTGTGGAAGGGAGTTTTGAGTCTCAAATGGTAACTGGTAAAAGATCCCATCTGTTTTGCTTGTAAGGGAAGCCTTGTTTCTGCCTGACACTGCACAATGGGGAAGGAAATTCTGCTGACCCTTTGGCCTTGCCTTTTGGCAGTTCCGCTGTTGGCCACGTGGGTGATGGAAACKCGACTCTCCCTGCATCACCCTTGCCATAGGATTGTTTGCTTGTTTTTCCCTTGAYTTTTTGTTTGTTGGGTTGATTGGCTGGGTGATCTGTCCCCTAGACTACTGTCTTGTGCTTATCGAACCCCATGGAATGTTTTGTATCATTATCTCCAAATTTTCTGAGTCATTTTTGAGTCTTATTTCTGTGTAAGTCTTTAAAATCTACAGCTTTTTTTTTTTCCTTGACAAAAAAAATCAAGTTGAGCAAGAAGCACTGTACTTACATGAGTGCTTTAATTTCCTGGCCTTAATATAATTTTCTGGGTGAATTTAACAAGGGAATTATTCAATAGAAGTTCGAATGATCATTGACACATGATTAACAGGACAGAGGGCTCCAGGACCATGTGTCTACACCTTCCTCTCACCTAGAATTCTCTTCCATCAATGACTCTAATTTAAAGATAGAATATAGTTGGAAGAATCTGGATTTCTTGGGATGTTCTGGTGGCATACACTGAGGAAGGGATATTGTTATTTTAAGTGTCTCAGGTGCATTCAGGTCATCCTAACAGGTGACTGTTGGGAGGTACATTCAAAGGCACCTGRCTGACACCTGTGGGAAGGCAGCATCTCTGAATTGGGCCAGGGGCTGACTTTGCAGGATCACTTTATCCACTCTCCTGAAAACAGCAGGTCCTATGGAGGTGAGCATCTGTGGGTGTTTTCTGGCACTGCTTGGCCAGGCAAGGGAAAGCGTTAAGTGAAACCCTAAAGAGAAGGACAATGTCTTGAGGTCAAAATGTTCTTAGGATTGTGGCAACCTGGCAGTGTCTCTCCATGTTGTGTTATTCTAGAATTTCAGGAGGCCAGGGCTACTGAGAAGCTATCCCAAAGAGTAGAAAGTGAAGCCCTCTAAGCCTGCCCGGTGGGTTGCACTGGGTAGACCCCCTTGGAAGTGAGAAAGTTSGGTTGGAATTAACCACAATTGATTAGAGCAGACAGCAGTGTGTGTGCTGTCATGAGCCTGTAGGTGGCGCCCAAAGACTGCTTGGTCTGTTTGGCACCGTGGCCTCCTGGTGATGTCCAGCACGGGATTCCTTCCTTCTTTCAGCTTTCCTTTCCTCCTTTTCCTTCCTCCCTGCCTTCAGAAAGAGCCCTGCAGGAATGCACGGACCTTGCATGTGCAGCTGCCCACTTCTCTTCCCGCTGCCTTGGCTCCTAACATTAGAGCTGATGGAAAACCCCAGGGCTGGGAGACCACCACCTTTTAGCTGAGCCCTGGTCTCTCCCCCAGGCCTGGGCTCTAAGCCTCTCATTGAAATGAAGGGCCATGAAGATGGGGGCATCCTACTGGAGTGCACATCTGGAGGGTGGTACCCAGAGCCCCACGCGGTGTGGAAGGACCCCTATGGTGGGGTCATGCCTGCGCTGGAGAAGGCTTACACGGTTGACAAAGACGGCCTGTTCACAGTCACCTTGGCTGTGATCATCAGAGACAGCTCCATGCGGAACACAACCTGCTCCGTCAACAACACTCTGCTGGGCAGGGAGATGGAAAGTGTGATCTTCATTCCAGGTAAGCCCTCTGCCCTCTGCAGACTCCGACTTGTGAAGGTAGGATCCTCAGCAGAGAGTGAAGCCCAGTGGTGACRGGGGACAGGAGTGTGGGTGGAAGGGTCCTAGGCTGGGAAGAGCTAAGCTGCAGCTGAGCCAAGGCCTCTTCCCTGATCACAGGGAATTCAGGAGCAGAAATCTGGTCCTTTTTTCCCTAGTAGGATCCCTGCGCAGCAGCAAATTTTCAACATTAAGAAAAATGAGCCATGTGTCTATCKCTCTGGCATCCTCAGAAACCCACACAGCAGGTCCCTACGGCAACTCTTCACTGCTCCCCAGGGTCCYGTCTGTCACTCACGGGGCTTTCCTGGCTCCCTTTTCAGAATCCTTCATGCCCAGGATATCTGCCTGGATGGTGGCCCTGGCTGTCACCCTTCCCCTTCTGATCCTCCTCCTGTTCGGGAGTGTYAGTCTCATCAAGAAACTCCACAGGAAAAAAAAGATTCTGTCAGCGGAAAAAGAGAGAGAACATGAAGAGAAAGAAGCCACATGTAAGAAACTGATGGAAGAATGTATGGAAAAAGAGGAAGAACGCCAAGCAAAAGGTAAAGGAGTCGAGGAGGGTTCACGTCAGAAAGGGACAGCATTCAGCAGAGGAAGCACAGAAGCAGCCCCAAGGGCTGGTGACCAGGTCCTAGTAAGGCACCCCCGGCAGCTCACTCTCTTCCATCAGGCAAGGGCTGCACTCCTCCATCTGGCTGCACAAAAGGAAGCCTGAAACCATACCAATGCCACCCCGCCACCAGACTGCACATCATCTCTGGTTTCTGACAGTGCCCCAGGCCTGGGGGTGGGGGTGGCGATGTTGGTGTTACAGAAGGGGCAGATCCTTCAGGCTTTAATACAAATTCAAATTCTCTTAGTGCTGCTATGAAGAAGTTATTTTGTTTCTGTTTCTTTTTCAGAGCAACTTCAGGAGGAACTGCGTAAGTGTAGCCTTTCCTGAACTGTTCTGTGGTTTGAGTTCGCTTGGTTATCTATTATCTGAGGACATTGACCTCTGTCTGTTGCTTGCAGGATGGAGGAGAACSCTCTTACATGCTGGTGAGTGCCTCTGACATCCCTTCACATCCAGGGCTCTCTCCCCACTAGCCCGCAGGACTCCAGAGGAGATGAACAGGGCCAAGGCTGGCTGGGGTGCGCCACAGGTGGCTGAGGGCCATTGGCCAACAGACCCACCAACGCTAGATCCCTGTTTTGTCAGGGAATCCTTGCAGGGTTGAATCAGCCCCACAGTCTGCTTCTCACGATCCTTCCTTTTAAAGAAAAAAAAAAATTGATCCATGATTACCAGAGTATCCATACAGAGCAGCCCTCCCTGAGAGTTACACTTCAGTACTGGTTGCTCTTGGATCSTGGATTAATTTGAATTAATTAAACAGTGCTGTTTTTATGACCGGCGAGATAGTTAGGCTCTGCACAGTTGAAGCCTGCGTGGGGAAGAGGCAGTAAGCTTCCTGTGCCTGACTAGAGGGTGAACAACGGGGTGTCCAGAATGCCTGTGTGCTCCCAAGACCGTGTTGACACTCTGAGCCTTCCAGGGAAGGCGAGCAGGGCAAGGCGACTCCGAGCCCCTACTCCGAATGAGCACTTTGCCCTAAGCACACAGTRTAAATGCAGGTTTCACCAGATGCCATGTTGTGTGGACCTTGACACTTTAGGAGACATTCAAAATCGTCACAATTTGGCACACCATCACATTCAGACATCTCAACGTGGGGAAAGGAGGAAATCATTTAACATAGTAAAAAAGATAGACAGAATAAACAGTAATACATGCAGAGGGGGGTCTGAAGTATTTCCTGCCCCAGAAAGGATGTCACTGTGGGCTTCAGAACCATGTTGTTAAGAACAAAATGGATGGAAGTATATATGTTAGCCAAACACTTCTCAGGCAGCAGGTTGTCTTTGGGAGACATTGTCCTCCTCATTTTCCCTTTGAAGGGTGCCCACGTCAGCTGCTAATCAGTTGTCACCTCGTCAAAGGGATGCAGGGGACCAAGGAAGAGACCCTCTACCCCACACACACTCCCTGTGATTCCCTAGCTGACCCAGGGCTGGGGGAGTGGGAGATAAAGCCTCTGTGCTGGTTTAAGCCAAACTGGCTGGTTTCTAACTAGAGCCCCAGAGGCCCCAAGTCAGGAATCCACAAGAAGGCTAGTCTGAGAATGCTGAGGAAGGAGGAGCCTCCCATTTTGGCCCATTTGCTAAACTTCCAGGGTTTCTTAGAGGCCCCGATGTCCTCTACAGAGGGTAACGCTGCTGTCACCAAGAGGCAGAGCTGTGGCCTYAGGGGTCCCAGCCAGTGAGCTGCTTCATCCCCCAGCAGCCCTGGGGACCCCTCTGAGGACCAGGGAGCCTACAGTCTGCAGGGGTCCCGAGACCCCAGGACTGAGCCCGAGGTCTCCCTGCAGCGGACGTGGTCCTGGACCCCGACACGGCTCACCCCGAGCTCTTCCTGTCAGAGGACCGGAGAAGCGTGTGGCGGGAGGCCTCCCGGCAGAGCGTGCCCGACAACCCCGAGAGGTTCGACTGCAGGCCGTGCGTCCTGGGCCGCGAGAGCTTCTCCTCCGGGCGCCAGTTCTGGGAAGTGGAGGTGGGCCGCGCCATGGTGTGGGCCGTGGGCGTGTGCGCCGACGGCGTGGAGAGGAAGGGGGACGCCCTGCTGCTGCCCCAGAATGGCTTCTGGACCCTGGAGAGGTTCGGCCACCAGTACCGGGCCCTGTCCTCGCCCGAGAGGACCCTCCCTCTGGGGGAGCTCCTCGAGCGCGTGGCCGTCTTCCTGGACTGCGAAGCCGGAGACGTGTCCTTCTACAACATGAGAGACAGGTCCCACATCTACACCTGTCCGCGCTCCACCTTCTCCGGACCTCTGAGGCCCTTCTTCAGGCTGGGTTCCGATGACGGCCCCCTCTCCATCTTCCCAGTGTTCACAGGGGCCCGGGGGGCCACCGTTCCCGAGGATGGCCTGATCCTGCACAACCCAGGGACCCCTAGGAGGGGTGTCTCATAGGGCCAATTCCTTGGCCTCAGTGCCTTGTCCACTACCCTAAGGCACCCTGGGGAATACAGTCCTCCTCCCCCTGGTCCCCTGAGAACTCAGCTCCCCTGCCTCCTCCTCCTTAGGCCCACCCCAGTGCTGTCACAGGCCGGGCTGCTGGTGAGTACAGGCAGGGCCCCGGGCTCGCGAACTAAGCTCCTGGCCAAGAGCAAAGTGTAAGAGGCTAAAGGACAGAAAACCTGTGGCTTCAGCATCAAGGTGACAAGGCTGAGCCCGACACTCCAGACACTGGGCAGTTGGGGCAAGGGCCATAGGATGCACCAGGATGTAAGAGGAAGGAGGGACCACAGATGGCCACCCAGRTGGCCCAGGAACAAGAGAGCTGGGTGGGGTGAGGTTAAGCCCCGCCCTGACACCCATGGCCCCTGGAGCTGATGGCATTCCCACCCCACTCCAGGATTTCCAGACCACACAAGGACGCCCACACCACATATCYGCAGGCCTGGACCTGGATGAGGAGGAATGAAGGACAGTAGTTCCTTTGGTRGGTCTGGYTCAGGAGTCGGTGCAGCAACCCAGRAGCTGTACTCAGTCTTTGATGAGGGGATGAGGTCCCGCTGAGCAGGTGACCCAATCCACCACAGGGCTCAGGGCAAGTGGGGACAGCAGCTGTTTCAAGCTTCTTGGTCTCAGGATGACTTTAGACACTTAAAAATTATTGAGGAACCCAAAGAGCTTTTGTTCTTTTGGCTTAATATCTGCTATTATTTATGGCATTTGAGACTGAAACTGAGAAATTTAAAAAGTGTATTTATTATTAAAACAACAAGAATAAACCAACTATAGGTAATCATAAACAGCCTCTCTTAAGAAAAATAACTTACTTCCTAAGCAAAAATAGATTTTATTGAGAATTGTGGAATTATTTTAAGTTATTGCACATCTAATATCTGGTTTAATAAAAGATGGCAAAATTGTCATATATGCCTTTGCATTTAATTTGCCGGGATATCATACAGGATCTAGAAAGCTACAGTGTACACTGTTGACAGAATCAGAGTGWGGGCAACAGGAAATGCCTTATTACTTCTGGGAAAGGGATACTAATTTTGCATATGGCTTGAAACTGTATCAGACATCCCCCAGGAACCCRTAATCCATATTTTGGGAACCAAGATAGAGAATCCTGGAATCCAGGTCGATTTGCTGGCTTAAATGGCCATATTTTAGATTTCAGACAATTTAGTAATCCAGTTGTAAAACTGGGATGAAAAAAAATTTATAAGCCTAATGTATTACTGGAGCCACGAATGCACACACTATGGAAAGAATCAGGACACATGGAGATAGCAGATCATTAAGATGGAAGACTGGGTTGTTACTTATGTGCCTGCCTCAGTCTATTCAAATATTTTTCAACCAAGCTTTTAAACAAGAGAAATTCATTTCTCACAGTTCTGGGAGTTGGGGAGAAAAAAAAAAAGAGAGAGAAAGTCCAAGGTGAAGGTGCCACCCACTTCCTGGTTCACACTCTTTTTGTGGTGTCTTCAGCTGGAGGATGGGGCAAAGGAGTTTTGTAAGATCTCTCCATGAGAAGATATTCTTCTCCCTTATGGGGGATCCACACCCAAGAAACAGTCACCTGCCAGCTGCCCCACTTTCAAACGTCTTCACACWGCAGATTAGATTTCAACACMTGAATTTTGGCAGGACACAAAACATTCAGTCTGTCGCAGTGTATATTGTTTTTACTTTTAGTTCTGTTGTTGTTTGAACTTTATTTATTTATTTTTGGTACTAGGTGTTGAATCCAGGGATTGTTTACCACTGAGCCACATCCCCAGACACCCCCCCCACCTCTTTAAAAATTTTTTTTGAGACAGTCACACTAAATTGCTGAGACTGACCTTGAACTTGCAATCCTCCTGCCTCAGCCTCCAGCACCATTGAGATTACAGGCATAAGCCACACTCCCAGCTTTATTTGAATATTTTTAAATAAAAGCAGCATACTGTGAATAAGGAATAAAGTATTGCTAATAATGGGCTGCATATTAATCTAAGACATTTATAGATTTTCATTGTTCTGTATGACCAAGGGCCTCGGGCATGCTGGGCAAATTCTTTACCACAGAGTTACATCTCTTGCCCTAAAATAAGATTCTAAGGCATCTTTGGATGTCTTTTGTTATCATCTATATACAGAGCACTTCCTTGTAGGCTGTATCTTTGAGTTCTCACAGCAGACACATTTATCCCATTTCACAGTAACCTACTGGGGTCTAGCAAGTTGAAGTTGTATTTTTTGTTCAAGGAAAATAATAGTTCACATTCAATTCTTTTTTCAGTTTATCGTGCCTTATCTCTAAGGTGCCTCCTGAACATAAAATTGATAAATTTTAAGTGTTTATTGACACTAGACATGAACCCAATTCTGTTCACTTAAACAGCATAAGACACAATCCCTCCCCTCCTTCGATCCGTCTCTAACCCACAGCACAGATGCCCATTTGCCCCCTGGACCAACTTAGCACCAGCCATGCAGAAACAYGGGTGAGTGACACAGACCTGCATCTTCTTGGAGAGCTATGTGTTAAACAGAAAGGAGGAGCATGGGCCAGTCTGCGGGTAGTGCCACCAGGTTGGAGAGAGGGCCGTGGATGTGGCCTGTTTTACAGGGCCAGCTAGGGAGGACCTCCAGAAGAGGTGTCACTTTGCCAAGGCTGAGCTGTAGGACAGCAATCCCTGGGCTTCAACACAGGAAGCAGCCGTGAGTCAAGGAACAGAAAGAGGCTGGGTGCCAGAGAAAGGTAGGGGGCGGGCAGGGGACGCAGAGACCAGGCCTGGACTCAGCACCCTGTGCAGGGCACAGCTCCTCCTCAGCACACCCTTGTCCACCTCTCAGAGGCAGCACAATCTAGCAGCCAGAGAGGAAACAAGGAGGTCCCCAGCTTCCTGCTTCCCCAAGGCAATGCCCCTCCTGGTGGTTTCTTCTGATCCCAGTGGCCAGGTGTCCTTTCTCCTGCGAGACACTGATCCTTCACCCTCATCCAGACCCACTCTCCGGCTTCCCTGGGATTTAGCTATTCCGTCCACTCATGCATTCAACATGAGTGCATTGCTGGGCAGATGTTGGGTACAGAAGTGAAGAGAGCAGAACGCCCAGGTCACAGAGACCAAGCTTGTGGAGGAGACAGACCAGGATATTCAGTGACGTGATGAGAAACTGATGTGACTCCATTTTTGAGAAACCAGCTTCTACCTCAAGGCCTGTCCTAAGGAAGGGGGTGGGACCCTTGTCCTTAGAAAAGCCCACAGAGCACTCCTAGGCACATTCCCACCCTGCTGAGTTGTTTGTCTGCAAATAACAGGAGAGATCTGCAGTGCCAGGTGTCCCTGACTCAGTCAGGCTAGGTGAGGACCCATAGCAACCCCCTAGCAGCCACCAATCAGCATGAGACATGGAAATACCTGGGATGCCAGATGACACCAAGTAGTTTATGGTGTTGATAACATGTTGGGAAACCATGTAGTTCAGCACGTACTCTCCTCATGGCCTAAACCAATCAGTTCAAAGGAATCCCCCTCTTGTGACTCTTGTACTAACCAATCACCCCTACCCAACTTGTTCCCAC